TCATATGTTGTAGCATCCAGCTAACTAGTCACTTCTGTTAGTTTGCTATCAGGCACTCACACCGTGAATCCCGGTCTTCACAACCGGACGTCACCTTTGGACCAACATGCACCGGTAAAACTGGTCTGCATGAGCAGGACGAGGTTCAAGATGTCAGGCTAATTGTTAGCCACTTGGGCCAGTGGAGTACGGGCTCAAAATCCCGCATGACTGGACTTCACTTAAACGGCAGACATGCTGACGCGGATTTTGCAGACGACATTCACTCTACTTGTCTTCTCATTTTCTCCATTCTCCATCCTTCGGTTTCATGATTTCTGCCTAAAGAGGTACCCCAGTATAGGTTATCAGAGAACTGAATGATACCGTAACCCTCGACATTACCCTCAAATTCCTAGCTATTAAAAATGAACGGTATTCCACGCTTAAATAGTTAGTAGAATTAAGTCGTCAGCGCACAGTGTAGCATCTACACTCATTGCCTTACCTAAAGCTAAAATTTTGACCGGAAGGCAGTCGTGGTCAGCATAAGACCATCAGATCAGCCTGAATTTTAGGGAGCAAGTCCCCGCATATGTTCCAAGCCCCACTCTAGAGGACCGGGAAACTGTGTTGATCAGACTTCTACCTAATGAAAAACGTGGTATGAGAGACTCTATAGATGTCACTCGTACACTCCCCAGTACAGCTCCGTGGATAAACAAACCGTCACACAGTGGTACGGTCCACTCGCTTCGTGACGAGGCCAGGCAGTAAGTATTCATAAACTTAAAAGCACTGGTGTCAAGTGTTCCGTTAAGTCAGTTCATATTTCCACTATTTTCTTTCTGAACAAAGCTCCGTAAAGAAGTCAAAGTATCTCTTTCAGTCCTTAATTCCGAGACAAGAAATACCCAGGAGATCAAAATGGGGATTATAGACAAGCACAGGGTCCCGAATGAGAGATCGAATCCAAACTATTCCCACGTATCTTGAGGTGCTGAACGGCGCAAAACTCGAGTTTCGTCACTCTAATTTATCGGTGGATTATAGACTCTCTTTTAGGTTACTACGACATTCCCCACCGACATTGTAGACGCATTAGTCTTGTTTTTTTTAATATCATAAAAAGCTCAGATCGATAAAGGCACTCCAAATGGTAAAATCGATCGTGATTGGCTTTCATAAGGGGGATTCTGGTGAGGACCAGTGAATGAAGGATCACGAGAACCTCGTAACTACGGCGGTTCACAGGAATGCTCTATTACGGATAAATTATTTGGGAGGAGGGATTTTGACAACCTGGTGAAACGAACAGCTTCGGTCACAGTTCCTAACCCGATATCGATGTTTCCAAAACTAAACGGCTGATGTAAAGCTACTGAAAAGGGACGAACACACACACACACACGCACACACACACTGTTTGAAGTCCTTGGCTGCGAGAACGCATCGAAAAACAGCAGTAAAGCAATAAAACTGTAGCCTTTTTGGTACTCAACATTTAGAGTTATCAAATCTGGTCAGAAAGTTTTGGATCACTCTGATTACGTCCAAAAGATTCAGGAAACTAAGAATCTTGGTTAAAAGTGCTTGGTCCCATTGAAACCCAAGCTCCGGTAAATATTTATATCAAATGAGTGAGACTGGACTTATCGATATCTTTGTGTGTTCTGTATGACTTCAGCTCACAGTGAAATATTTTAGGTCAGAACAAATCGGCGGAAAGTCGTGCAGCTTCTTGTGTCTGCTAAGAGGCGTCAGAAACTTGGTATAACAGCCGTAAGTGCAATTTATTGCGGTGGTGACAAAAATGAACAATGTGGGAAGCGTCCACGTTCAACTCGCCATCTACAACACAGCCGACTGGCTTCGTATTGACAGAAGAATTCACACTATGGTCGAAGTCAGTGAGAATTTATCCTGACAATCTCCCTATCGAACCGCTATCATTAATCACAGTTCGTTTGATGTGATCCGTTTTATCGCCAACTGGGCTCAATTCACGGTATAGATTTACAAATACCCGTGATGCAGGACGGAAAGGACATCCGATTATGGCCAGTCTATATCTGATCAAGCACATCGGAAGGTGAACTTCTTTGGCGAGTGGAGTGAATGATTTTCCAAAATGATATTCTCTAGATTCCACCTGGGTGTGTTACTCTGCTCAACACTTCACAAAACTATGTACTCACGTGAACCAAGAGTCAAGTAGTTAGTATTAGGATTTCCATGGACTTTTTGGTCTACAAGTTATTCCACAGATCGATGTTTACAGGCTAGAGAGTTTATTTCGTAATTTATTTATGACAGAAGGAAGGGATTCACTCCGTAGGTGTCTGGACAAGTGTGCCGACACACAGGGGCATCCTCACCCATCCAAAAAGGCTATGGAAGCGCAAATTACCAAATGGAGATTGAATGATTCATCGTCCAGTTACGTATGTGCTGACCAGGATGAACTAACACAGAAAATACTCCCATAGCACAAAAACCTAGAACAGGGCGGGAACCAACCAGAAAATTCCACTGGACCTGTCCCAGTGAACTTAAAAACTTCGTTCACTTTTGGGGTATTCGTCACTACACAGAACTCCAAAGGAGACTATTCCAGTAACGCCCGGGTCAGGAGCACAGCTACTGACTGTTCGGGTCGGGCTTATTAGTGATCAAAAACGGAATTCGTCCTTGGCGAACTATACTCATTTGCCTACCCATTAGGTTTTGACGAAAGACAGCTAAATTCTGTATAAAGCGAGACATGAGTAGTGTATTGCGTCTATACAACCTGTCGCGATATCTCGAATGTCATGCCAAATGAAACATGAGGCGGCCTGGTGTAGTACACTCAGTTGGTTGGAAACATCATAAACGAGAGACTCAGCTGGATTCTAGGTCAGTCTCCCATCAAAATCAAATTGGTATGCAAATGAGTGTATTTTGCTGGTTTCGTGCAATTCGAGGCTCAAGTAGAACACAAGTTCGAAGGAAACTCGAGGATTGTGCCCACCTGAAGAGACCCAAAAAGGGCAAAATTTGGTCGTGGGTTGTCGAAGGGTTTCCAGCAGCCCTAGGGGTAGTGGGATTCGTCCTGCTTCGGTCCTTCTTCATTCTGACCTCTTTTTATTAGTTAGTTCAGAACCCAGTTGAGGTCCCGCTTCACGCACTCGTTCCATTTCCTATGATCCGGCCGTTGTCCACACGTAGCATACTGCGTATAAGAGGTTGCGGAGAAAATCCGCAAAAAATCTACGAAGAAATATTAAGCCAACCAGTTGCGTCGCACCCATATGAGCTGAACAAGCGGCCGCGTTCGTGAATAAACACGACAAATCATTTAGGATCAACTCCGGTCTGGATTTCATGGTCGATTCTCCCCGTTTCCAGATGGTATCTGGTCTCCCCGATAAACCCATATTTCTTTCGTGAATAAGTCTGAATCACACATAAGTTTTGCTATCGATAATCAACTTGCCGTATTCGACCTATCCATTTTGAATCTCTCGAAATTCTGCCTGTTTTTCATAAATTACCGTCAGCAGGCTTTGGCTATTCAGTGCAAGGTTTCCATTTCGCCAGTGTTGCGCAATCTCAAAAATTCACATTTCACATTGATTATCAGCTCACCAAATGCATCCGGACTTGAATTCTATCCAACTTGCCTGAAGCATATTCATTTAGACATCACCAGCGATTGCTAAGGGCAGCTAATTCTTCGGATGACGTGTAAGCTGTTCGAAGTTTCCACCAACATCGCTGGCTCCGGGTGAACTGCAATTATTCAGTTTCAACTTAAGAGCTTTTTTCATTTTTAAGGCACATTAACCAAGGAAATTTTCGTTTCAGGAATCTCTGAAAATGGCACTAGTTGATGAAAAATGCTGTAGTAATAAAATGAAATGAAACCCATCGTAACCTCAAAGATGCTATTTATTGGCCTCACATGAAATAAATCCGTGGGCCAGCAAAATACACTCATTTGCAAATAAATTTGGTTTTTCGAGAGACTCACCTGGAACCCAGCTGAATCCCTCGTTTATGATATTTTTGAGGAATTTTCAGGGACCTTATGAGTAGCGTACTACGTCTAAACGGGTGGGTTCTTCACAGTCCTTGGTGTTCACATCTAGATCTCAAATATGTGTAGGCGAATATCGATACTGGCAACCAAAATAAGTAAGAAGTCGCCTTAACTAGCGCCCGTCGTTTGAAAAGGTAATGACCCTAAGGTAATAGTTTCATGGGAATCGGTTATCAACTCTTTCTCGGACATCCACCAGAATGATTTTGATAAAAGAACTATACAATTCGAACTCTGGATTACTCGCAGACAGTTCAACACTTATTAGCGCCCGTCGTTTGAAAAGGTAATGACCATAAGGTAATGGTTTCATGGGAATCGGTCATCAACTCTTTCTCGGACATCCACCGGAATGATTTTAATAAACGAACTATACAACTCGAACTCTGGATTACACGCAGACGGTTCAACACCTACGACCCTGCTATTTTCACTAGGGGGCTCTTTGGCTTCATGGATAGCGCATGAGTATTTTTCACTGACTGTCGAGTAAGCGAAGAAATGGGCCAGAACGCTGGATGCATCGTCCAATTGAATGAACAGGAGGTCCCACAGGCAACTGGGCTGAATGTAGTAGGTAGAGATTTAAATGAGTGCTGATCAAGAGACAGTTTACCTTCTCGCTATGTTCAAACAATCAGGGACAAAAGCGGGACTGAACCGATGCATTTGAGCCATCTGAGCTGGTTCACCGAAACTAATCAGGAGTATCCGACAGACAATGATAGACGTAAGCGGCGTGAAGCGATCGGAAAGTAATGAGCCTAATTGGGACCACGATCTCGTCATTTGGGGCGATTCTGTCCTGACACACTACACTCCCTGGACAGTAGCGTTCATATCAAGTGTCCTTATGATGACTAGTTCGACTAGCTCGAGAAGGCCATATGACCTCTCAGCATAGTCTCTCTCCCATGAATGTTACATTTTGTAGACCATGGGCATGTTTTGTGGAATGTCTGACTCCTGCCTGAAAGGTCGGATGTTCGAATTCTTTCTGAGCCGTTTTGATATTCTTCTACAGAAAGGTGAGTGTTTGAGAGTCTGGGACCGATCTCTCGAAACAGATCAGAATCAGATGCCGAACGATACCGAATTGTTGCCCACACTGGGCCCGCAACTGGTTGCCAAATTTGACAAGAACGTAAGTTTGATAGCACTGTTCCGCTACATGATGGATGCCCACATTAGAGAAACTTCATGTTCTATGTGAACCTGGTCGATAATAAGAGAAGTATGTTGAGACAGTTATCCAGTTGGGGATGGATATCTCGTATGGGTCGATGATTATGCACGGTCGTACATACAAACTGATCGTTCAGCCTTCTGGTGCCTAGCTGCCATGCCACCCGAAGGAAGCACGAGGACTGAGATATTGCCAGGTTGCCCAAGCCTAGACAGAAGAAGTCGAGAGGCAGAGGGAGGGTTCGAACCACGGACCTTCCGGTCAGTAAATTCGCGCTCCAACCACCTGAGCCACCTGCCGCTCATGCTTGTGGGAAGTCTCCACGTGGCGCTGTGCACTTAGTGTCCCGTTCACAGCCCTCCAGTCCTGTTGAAGATAATTGTGGTTGCGAAGACCATAAAGTGGTGTTGATTCTTTGACTTTTTGATATTTCAGTCAAGTATCATTAAAAATATGCACCAAGAAAATGTGACCTGATGGCATAGGAAACTGGAATACAGTTTCCAGTTTTTGTGGCAGGCGGTGAATATTTCCAACGTCCAAATCAACATCGAAAATTGAATCCATAATGACTTAACACCTATCGGAGTTTTACAATATGAGGTTTCACCAGGAAACAAATGGACCGGAATATGGGAAGTTGTCATTTCGCAATCCGCCATAGGCATGATAAGGTTTGGTTTCTGTCATCGCCACTGTCATGTTAAGAATATCCTATTAGTTGGGCTCTGATGAATGTTTTATCTCAGTTGTCTGAAACGCCTTCGCATTGTAAGCACGTGATTAGTTCGCACCAAAACAAGGAAATATCGGACGTGAATTTCGGCCTTAGTAGAGTGAGTCTCAAGTGCGTATATAACCATATAACCAAGTAAATCCGGATATCGGAGACAACAGACCGCCAACTGAGTTGTCCCAAATTTGTCCCTATATCTCACCTGTATTAGGAACGGACGAAAGAGCCCACGCAAAGTGATTACGTACCGGAACTTCAACTCTTTTAACGCATCACCTCCGGTGAATAGTATTCAGTTAGATTTCATGGACCGTACAGGTTTCTGCAGATTGGTATCCGATACAGAAAATTAGGTCAGAGCGTATCCAAGTGGGCACAATTATTTGTAATTATTTCCGTCACCACTGTGAGTGACACTGTCAAATGTTTGAAGAACAGTCATCCACATTTTCGTTGCGTTCCTTTCAGCCGACCAGTATCGCACGACATAATAGTGTGACGTGAATATGCACGTGATTTCATCCCCCGTGTGATTCGCATACGTAACTGCATATATTTACGGCAGGATCGGGACGTTTTTAAATCCTATCGATTTTCATTGAATTCTCGTTCCCTTCTGGAGGTAGGATGAACAAATTAAGGATATAGATTGCACCGTCCCCGTATATTTTTAAAAATTCGGGTCACTGTACATGAACAGTGCAAGGGGATGCAGAGTCCCATTAAAACCACCCTGGGTAAGAGGCCCAACCTTCAAAGCGCCACGTCGATGGACGTGCCTGGGGGCGATAACTGCACTCTCGTACACTCAATACCAGTTCAGTCAACATTCGTTTGATGATCCTAAACAGCATACAGCACTCTGAAAATGCTTCCTCCTTTTATTGGCCTAACAAGCCTACAATAACCAAGAACAAAGATAAAGCGGCCGAGAAGAATTACCTCTAATTGTCTGGGAAAGATTTGCGATTATATTTCAAATATGCAAGGCAGAATGAGAGGTTATACCTGCCAGATGGGAAATAAAAGGTTTTCCTAACATTCTATACATCGAATAGGAAGTGCTCAGAGCTGACTTTGTTTCATTATCAAAACGCGTGAGTCCAACATTTGATACATAAGCTGCACAGGACTGAATAAGTTTCTTTGGCTCAGGAAATACCCCAGAAAAAACGTTGCTGACCTAAAATCATCTCTCTAGGAAACAGTAACAGAGACGAATAAGTTTGGTTTGTAAAGTCTAGATCGATTCATACGCTGGTGAGATGAATAGCACTCAGCCATCAAATGAACACTCGGTGATGATACATGGAACCATTTTGGCTGATAGATGATGTCAAATTTCAGTAGTGGGAAGAACTCGAGATGGTTCAGTGGTTAAGGCACGAACCTGGCCCGTGGTTTGAACCCAAACTCTACATCTTGACGGCCCCTGTCTAGACTTAGGAAACCTAGAAAGATCTCGGCCTTCTTTCTTCCTTCGGGTGGCGCGGCAGCTAGGCACCGAAGTGGTGTTAAGTCCGAACAATTAGTAGTGTTATTTAGTACCTTTACTGGGGAGACACCAGACGGCTAAGTCACTCAGAGATTCCCGCTCCAGTTACTTTGAACGGATCCGCGGAATTTGTTAAATTTTTTATTCGCGTTGCAACGTTATTGCCCATGCTAGTGCTTTGCACCAGTACAACCAACATCGACTGACTCAGAATTCGGATCTGACATCCCGCATGCCTCCACCAAAAAGCTTCCAATGTAGCTCTCGCGAATTCCCTCTGCGCCTCCCCATCCGGGGTTGGCGTCCCTAGAATCCATGCATTGCACGTGTTAGAGGGTTTCTCAGGACTGCCGCATATCCGCGTGCTTAAATATCAGTGCTTCAACCCATGGTCCAGAAAACCGGTAAAATCGATGAGCGTGTAGATGCTCTAACAATACATGCTTAGGGCTGCAGCTGGGAATCACCGCAACGAAAGAAGACTACTAACTAGAGTAAATAGTCATGGTACCAGTGATCGGGCACCAGTCTTCTTTACCTAATTACAGGAGACTTCCAACTGAATGCAAAACTCGAACTAATTATTCTCTCTAAATTCACCTGAGTTGGCCTATTTTCTGGCATCAGCTGGCAACAATAAACTTAATGGGCTCTTTCTTATTTCGCAAAGTTGCACTGGACGATAATAATTTAGTAACCACCGCTTCTTTGTCCGCTGTTCGGGGTAGTGAAACTTTCCGGGCAGATGCTCCTTTTCCAGTCGATATGACACAACTGCCTGCCGAGATGCTGAGGTTGGGTTTGAACCAGTGAGCTTCGGGTCACCAAGTTTGCGCCCTAACCACCGGGTTACCTCGAGCTCAGAAGACAAGAATAGTCTGTGTGCAGCACATTCAGTTGGAGGACATCATAAACGAGAGATTCAATTGAGTTCCCCGTGAAAATCAAATTGATTTGCAAATGAGTGTATTTCTCGAAAACAGTCAATTTGGGTTCAAGTAGATCATAAGGCTGACGGAAACTCGGAAACTGCGCCTACCTGATGAGTCCCGAGAAGGGCGAAACCGGTAATAGTGGGCTGTCGAAGAGTTTTCAGCAACCTTGTGAGTAGTTTCCCTTGTGAAGAATAGTTTAAGCTGACAAAGGCTGTTTTTCTCCCATATTTTACGGCATTTGTCATTTAATGATAGGTTAACCGCTACCCCAAGTTCATTATACCAGTAACCGCGACTACTAACAAGCACGAAAGGTGCCGATATAACAAGGACGAACTAAATTCAGCAGTAACTCCTGCAAGGAGTCAAAGCTAGACATGCCACTTTAAATTAGGTCATGAAAATCTTCATACTCCCTGGCGGATTTGTTTACCAGACCCTAAAGCAAGTGGAAAAATTTTACATTACCTATGTACATGATTAAATGTGCAAGTGCTGTCTGGAAGAAGCTCTGAATTGTGAATGTATCACCGTTCGTCAACGCAACTGACGGGAGTATGATTCAAAACTCACTGATATGTAGAAAAAAGTACGTCGTGTGCTTTGATAGTTCTGCATCGAACTACGCGGAGAGCACTTATCTATCCGACGTGTAAATTATAAATTATAAAGACCACCTCCGATCGAACGCACCAGCGTCGCACATCACTCGGGTTTTGACAGCTTAGCAACGTGACAAACGACAAACATGGGAATGACGTAAACGGCACTAACCACAAAAATCTGACGCGTAGCTCAGTCCTCTCCGTGTGTGTATTTTTCTCTCGCTTCACCTTGTACGCATCGTCACTCGGTAGGGTAAAATCTCGGGGATAAATCCCCTTGGCCGCTTTCTCGAAATGCAACGGAATATGAAATCATGATCACAGGGCTGACTAAGCGTAACCAAAGCAACTTTTTGTCGAAACAGATAAATCATCTGATGTGGGAGAGGTCATTTCGGCTGGTTTATACATGGTCAGTTCTGAAGCGTAGAATCCACGGCGTTCTGCATAAATGAGTTACAGTTTGTTTGTGTGATGTAGTAACTATCGAAGATAAGATAATAAACAAGGCAATCAATAAGCTGTATCATCATCGATCGATAGTGTCCTTACCCTAAGAGATCAAGTGAAAATCACGGTTAGATCTTTGCTTCGCTTGCCTAGGCGAACTATGCACTGAGGCACACCCTCTTTAGCGAGAATTAAGGAAAGTGCACCTTGATGACGCACAATTGATGATGACATGTCCCCTTTGTGGACCTTTTGTGCGATAGGGTTATTATAAGGTGAAAGAGGCCGTTCGTTCTTCCTCCATCCTTCTCCTTTCCTTCTTACTTCCCTTCCCCTTACTAAACTGTCCTCTCCCAACCACTAGGCGCTAGCGTTCACTGCTGACACTTTGTTGTCAGCTGTTGAATCTATCTTCAGTGACATCCAAGGCGTTGTTTAGTAAAGCTAGGAGTGATATATGATAACCAGCAATATATTTTCATAAAGTAAACTACTCACAAGGTTGCTGAAAACTCTTCGACAGCCCACGACCGGTTTCGCCCTTCTTGGGGCTCATAAGGTAGGCGCAGTCCCGAGTTTCCGTCAACCTTACGATCTACTTGAATCCAAATTGTACTGTTTTCGAGAAATACACTCATTTGCAAATTAATTTGGTTTTCACAAGAGACTCAACTGAATCTCTCGTTTATGATAGTCTACAAATGACTATGCTGCACACAGGCCACCTCATGTTTCAGCTGGCACAATATTCGAGATATCGCAGTATATTTTCATAATGGAAACTACTCACCGATCGTGGACTGTCGAAGAGTTTTCAGCAACCTTGTGAGTAGTTTCCTTTACCAATTAAGTGTCTTTTGGTTGCGTTCAGGGCTGTCCCTTCGAAAAGACTTGCTCTCGTCATATGTCTCCATATGAAAGATATATTTTTGGTACGGGTACCTTCGAGGGAGAGTTATTATGCTGCGTTGGATACGGAAGTACCAGGGGTTGAGTAAGCTTCAGTCGGGGGCAAAACGTATGCAAAATAGACTAGACGATAGAAGCCGATGCACTCAAGTCACCAAATATCATGTTACATTTGAGTTCTACTAACCAACCACGTGCCCTTCGCAATATCATGCGTTTCACTGACGCTATGGATAAGTGACGTAAAAAAATGATGTAAAAAATGTGGAACTGGACGGAACAATGAGAGCACCCTGGAATGTTGAACTCTAGGTCCATTCTTATATGCATTCCACAAAGCTTAATATCTTATCGCGCCAACAGTGATCAGTGGTTTCATACAATTAAAATTGATAAAGGACACATCAATTTGTGTTATCGAGGTTAACCTACCTTACGCCAAGACCCCAGCGCTCTTTGGATTCCGACGAAAAAATATGACGTAAGCGTAATGTTTTCCACTAACCACTGCATTTTCCAGTCCAGTTTATACATAATCACACCACTTATGGACATCATAAAGGAGAGATTCATCTGGGTTCCAGGTGAGTCTCCCGTCACAGCCAAGTTGGGATGACGATGAGTGTATTTCGCTACTTTTGTGCAATTCGAGTTCAGGTAGAAGATAAGACTGATGGAAACTTGGGGACCGTACATACGTGATGAGCCCAAAGAATGGCGAAACTGGTCGTGGACTGTTGAAGAGTCTTCAGCAACCTTATGAGCAATGCATTACGTCTACACCACTTGGTACAGTTGGTGGACATTTCATGGATAATCCTTGGCAAGCGCTCGACCTACTCGACACTGCATGTATTCCTCAAAGCCCTTCATATGCCCCTTTTCTGTATACAAATCATTCTTTAAAAGTTTTACGACCCATGGTCGTAGTAACAATAAATGCTGTAAGGCTCTAATTATTAGTTTTGCAGTCGAGACCCGACTGACCTTGACCCGAGTGACCTTGGCAATGATCCGGAGCAATCTGTTGGGGTTTGCAAATCATATCTTACTCAAGACTCTCGAGACCACGGGCGAATTTACTCTATTGATGAATGCATCAAGAACAAATTACGTTTGTAAAGGGATTTCAAGAGCTAGTGTCATTTTTCGACTTAGTCGCACCTGTTACGGGAAAAGAAAAAGTACTTCTGAGGCAGCCGCCAACCACCGTTGAACAATTTACGGGAGAAGTTCAAGTAACCGATATCAGGGACCACAATTATTCAGAACACGAGTCCGCTGCAGTGATGGGGACTAGCCAACTCGCTGAAATAACTGGTGAACGAATGGAAGCTGACTGCTTTTGCTGAAGAAAAATCACCGACTGTCTGCTTCACACAGTTTCGCACTCGCAAACGTTGAACCTCACGTAGTATTGGATTAATTTGAGTAAATTAGAATAAATCCGCTGCAGTGATGGGGACTAGCCAACTCGCTGAAATAACTGGTGAACGAATGGAAGCTGACTGCTTTTGCTGAAGAAAAATCACCGACTGTCTGCTTCACACAGTTTCGCACTCGCAAACGTTGAACCTCACGTAGTATTGGGTTAATTTGCGTAAAGTTAGAATAAAAAAGGTTGAAATGAGACTAAAAACCGGACGGTATTCTTTTGATTGTTAAACCCCAACTGGCAGTTCAGTTCGCTGGGATCATGATATGCGGGGAACGCAGCGCATAAACTAAACGCAGTTGGAAATGTTCGTGATCTTAGAACCGCCCTTCCCCTCTGACCACCCTCCGGTCTTATTCTCCCGAAATTTATATAAAATAATAAGGGAAGTTCAGCTCCTGTGTAGGCAGCGCAGACCGTACATGGCCTTACCCATCTAGTGCTAGGGTCCACTGGCGTAGTTCGGTGTGATAGGCGAATTTAGAAATTCAGTTTGTTACGGAAAACTGATATCATCTTGTGCGAACCAGCCTCCAGGCCTAGACACTTGCTTCGTCCCTTGTTGACGGAAGACTAATTACAAACGAGCTGAAAACCCCGGCAACCCACAGTCAGTTTTGCCCTTCTTGGGGCTCAGTAAGTAGGTCGAGTCTTCGAGATCCCGTCAACCTCATATTCTAGCTGAACCCAAATTGGACGGGATTCACCGCATGCTGTCATGGGATCATTAAACTGATTTGAACGAGCGACTCAGAGGAACCGCTCATTTATGATAGTACTCGAATGAATCTGGTGCACAAAAGTCGCCTGGCATTTTATTAAGAGAGTATATTTTAGTAGTCTCGAATACCGTCCCAACTAAGAAATGAAGCGGCCTGGTGCAGAAAATTCAGATGAAGGATAGCGTAAACAAGATATTCAGCTGAGTTCCAGATGAGTCTCCCGTCAAAATTAAATTGGTACTCAAATGTGTGTACTTGTCGAATGTCGGGCTATTTGAGTTAAAGTAGAGAATAGGGTGGACGGGAACTCAGGGACTGTGTCTGCCTGATGAGCCCGACCTAATGAGTAGCGTTCCGTGAAGAAAATATACCACGATATCTTCAATATCGTCCTAACCCAACAGTGTTTGTGCTGCACACTCAGCTGGAGAATACCGTAGCTGAGAGATTCAGCTGAGGTCTAGTTAACTTTCCTGTTAGAACCATATTACTGTGCAACCGAGTGTCGTTCGCTACTTCTTCGCTTTTCACTTGCTTGTCCCGTGACACGATGGCTGGCTATGCATTACCGCTGATGCTGTCGCGTCAGCTGTGCACTGCATCCCGTCTCCGTTCACTTTGACACTGGGAGAGCGTAGCTGACTCACCTTTGAATGTCATGGCATGAACAGATGGTTATGGAAGTTGTTGAGACAGACTGCAATGTTTCTCGTATCTTGAACTACTCTTTACTAGCCATTATAAAACAACCTGTTCATCGTTTGGTGTAGCTTGGAAGTATTCGCTTAACAGCGTTACTACAAGAGGTCTCATAGATCTGTCATCTTCACTTATCCTGTCATTTAGTCTGAACCGAAATGAGGTCAACCTAACTGGTTCGAGGACGTGTGTAAACGCGGAATTTTTTGCTGCAGGCTGCCAAGGGTCCAAACAGTCTTGTCACATCGTGCAGCAAGCTTCAGGTATGCATCATTGCATGTGCCTTCCGATCGATGTCACTCTTTTGCGAGTTACCAGAAAGACTACAGTCTGGTCTAGCCTCGTGGTTGGTGTGCTGAAGCTCTCTGAGGCTCTGCTTCTAACCCAGACAACCCAGCGGTTGCAATGAGCACTCTTGGGTTTTTATTTACAAAAAACTACCTGTCAGGGAGCACAATTTCGAAGAAAATGAGGCAGTCCCCTCACACAAGGTCGACTAGGAATAAAGTTACAGAAAAAGTACATGGGCCTGTGTGTAGTTTTCTAAAAAATCAGTTTACTAGCCCTTGTGACACTCAACAGACGCGCAACCAAATTTATAAAGATGAAATTCTAAATTAAGGATTCCTTAATAAAAATTTTATAAACTTAGTGCACTACTCATACGGCTGCTGGAAACGCTTTGACGGCCCAAGATTGGTTTCGCCCTTTTTGGGGCTCATCGGTTAGGTGTAGTCCCCAAGTTTCCGTCAACCTTCTGTTCTACATGATGATCATTGACGAGAGATTCAACTGAATCTCCTGTGAAAACCAAACTGGTATACAGATGCATGCATTGGTGGAAAAAACGATTATCATTGATTTGGAGGCAGTCGATCGCAGCGCGAACTTCGAGTACTAGTTATATTGCGAAAATAAAACTAAGGATTGATGTGGCCATATGCGAAAAACAAACACTGAGTGACTAATGTTTTCCACGGTTAGTGAATACGGAAGAACGTTTTCTACCGAACTCTTTGAGAACAGAAAGTTCGTCACAACAAGGATCGTGCAACTTATACGTACATATGGTTTCATGGGAGGATAATCAAAACATCCACACTAGTTAGGTGTCAGATTGACCTGACATACCTTTGAGGGAAAACGGGGGTTGCATCTGCCCGATGAGTCTCAAGAAGGACAAAGTTGATGGTGGACTTCCGAAGAGTTCTCATCGGCCTCGGGAGTTGTGATTTCTGTCAAGAAAACAACTCAGTATGGTACTCACCTGTCACATACCTTTGACAATTCGGTCAAACCGACCTTACATGTTTGACGATGTTGGAATTGTTTCAGTTTTAAAAACGTGCACTCCAATTTGATCAGGGATTGTGAGCTTTCTCCGTTAGGCAGAAAACTGAATGGGGAAGTTTCACGATTTTCCTGTCCGATACTTAATCGGAGACGACATTGTTCGTCAAAAAACGCCCCTGGACCGTTCGAAAGCACACGGATCGGACTTGCATAATTCCACGATAATATGAACAAGCAGCTGAACGTGTGTTTCACTACCTCCGTGAGGGTTTTCAGAGCATTACAACACCAGATATTCTATACTTTTAATTGAAGGAAGGCTTCTATCGATGCATAACTCATGGTTGTAAGGCAGGTAATTGGCGACGAAGGTGGTTGGGCCATGTTTTACGCATACCACGCATACCCAGTCACTGCCTGTCGAGATGAGCTCTGTTTATTGTGCCTAATTCGGATTGCCGGAAACCTAGAGGTGGACCGAAGCTGACACGGTAGAAGAGAATGAGAGATGTAAAGGAAAGTTTGAGTTCTATTGATGTTGTTTACCTTTCAGGATGGGGTCTGCGTGACCTTTCCTGTGTCGGCTGGAGACGCTGGACAATATGATGACGGTCAACCAATATCAGTGGCGTTCGTGCTGTCAGTTTCTATCCACATTGTCAACAGCCATCTGATCAATAACCAATAAAGTGCGATTATGTATTGTGATCGAATTGAGTAGACGCTGCCTGACGCGGCCTTCACTGAATGTATCACAAAAAAATACCCACTAGCCTGTGCTGATATTTCAGTGACTACCGACTACTTGCATTTTTGGATAACGTTGTACTTTTTGGAAGGATCGAGTATGACGAAACTAACCAATTCACCTTACAGGGTACGTCTGCAAATCGATTAAACTACTCACTATAAGCATAGGTCATTCAGCATAGAAAACCATACGAAAATGGCCTGCACGATTCTGTGAAACACTGAGCACAGTATGGTCCTTTTAGTCAGCCAATACTCAGGTAAAATGAAACATCAGAAAGGTAGCGTTCATGATTAGGTTGCTTAGGTTACCTAAACTTCATCAGCTCATATCAGCAGCGCAGTGAGCCAGGTATCTAGCTCATCCAAGCTCATGTCACATCATTGCTCGGAGGAACAAGGTATATTGATTACACATTCTGCAACCTATGTGTATTCGTTTTGTCTCACACCGTAGTTATAAAATGTCCAGCTGCGATATGATCACAAATGAAGAACTTGGGCCTACGATCACGACGCGAAATCGCAGTGGAATGATCGATCGGATTACATGGTGGACATATTTTGTTGCCCGTCGATTTATGCAACTGAAAAGTACAAACTGGTTGCTGCGGCAACTATGCAGCCATCTCTACCTATAAATTCTCATAGAAACGTTCATCTTCACGGTGCCGGTGGACGACCCATATGCATACTTTTGGCAGATGGTTCAAAAGATGTGACTGACCTCAACTGTTTTGTTCTTATGGAGCGTATTTAAGTGTATGGACTGTTGAAAAACTCAGGTTAAACTTGATTTCCTGACGGAAACTGTTCATAAGATTGTTGAAAACTCCTCGACAGCCGAGGAACTATACTACGGTAGCCGGAACATCAGTTGTACAGCATATTCATTAAAAAAAGACAGAGTAAACGGGCGATTCAGCCGGTATTCGACTGAGTGTCCAATTAGAAGTGAATTGGACGTCTTTCGCATGGTTTCACCATGTGGCTGAGAATACCATGTCAGTTTTCGTTGTAGCTCAGTGTCGGGTGGTTGCTTCGGATCAGAAAAGCCGTCTGTGTTCGACCAGGCATTTTATCGTCCAAAGCATCTCCACGAAGATTTCGATTATTGTACAATAAATTCTGACGTAGCTTTTGTTAATGTCAATGAATGTTTTTCATTGGGGACTTCAAATTTCTTCAAGAATAATCAATCAATATGCAATTCCGACGAAGTT